ACAAAGACCCAGGGGCCCTCCTCCTGACGCCCTCGGGGGGCACAGCAGAATTCAATGACAATAAATTGGACAAGATACCGGATGTGCCGAATCTGACCCCAACGGAAAGACTGAAATAGACACTGCAGACCAGAGTCCAGCAGAGGAAGGAGGAAACGAGGAACAGGGAGCGCCAGAGAAGGAGGGAACCATGCATGATGTGCAAGGATGAACATTTAGACAACCACAGATTTTTTAATCTAAATTAAACTCAGTTAAAAACATTCTTAAGAGATATAGAGATATAAATGAATGCTGGCATCAAATCACAACATTTTACCTCTCTGCTGCCACGGTATTAAGAAGATAAATGTGATACAGAACAAACCTTTCAGAAATGAGTAGATGGTCATTAACAGTTAAAATTATTTGTTCTGAATAAATCTTGTTTCATTAGAACAAATTCAACAACAGTCTCCAAGTACAGAAGGTAACCAGGTTTAAATTCTTAAAAACCTTAAAGAAAGCTGGTTAAAAAAAAATTATAATAAACGCTGTAAATGTTGCAGTAATTCATATTTATTTTTTGTATATTTTTATATATATATATTACTATATTATTTAAAAAGTAAAAGTAAAATCTGTATGTAGGATTATTTCAAATATTAACAAATTACAATAGGAAGCAAAAAGTTATCTAAGAATCATATTTTAGCCTCATCCACCTCAGGCCTTATTGGATCTTTCTGATCTCCTGGAAATATAGAAAATAATAAGAAGCTAAGGAGGCTTAGTGAAGTTAACTTAAAAATAGACTCTCCTCACAGGTCAGCGTTTATCTCTGTATAAATAATTGTGTGTTTTATTTCTACTCAGAGGATTATTTTTTATATATCTCCTCTCGAAGCACAAAAAGAACAACAGCGTAGAAGTGAACTTTTGACAGAGAAAACTAGATGGTCTCCAATGTGGCTTCCATGCAAGTTAGTGTTAATTAATTAAAAGCTTTCTGACAGTTTTATCTCATCAAACTAACATAGTGCAGAAAAGTGTGTGAGTCTTTGAATGGTGGCAGCAGGTCCTCCAGGGCCGCTGTCCTGCAGGCTTTAGAGGTTTCTCAGCTTCAGCACAGCTGATTCTGATGATTGCAGCTCAGCCTGAGCCTGTTAATCAGCTATCAATGGAAATCAGCTGTGCTGCAACATGGAAACCTCTAAAACCTGCAGGACCCACTTTGGAAATGCCTGGTGGAGAGTAATGTGTTGTTACTGGCCTGTGTTGCTACTAGTAGTATAATTAACAATAATTAATTAATTAATAACAGATCAGTGATCTGACCTTCAAGTGGAACAAATTGAATGCAGTTTAAGAAGGAGCAGCATCTCCAAAAGGAGAAGTTACTCTGGCTACTGGCCAAGACATCGAAGATATTTACAAACCCTGACCTTAAAATCCAAAAAGGCTGCCTTATGGAGCGATCACATTTAATGTTTATTTGGACTTTAGTGTCTATATTTATATATAGAAAAATAGTTTCCGTTTCAGGAAGCCATCTATGTTAAGAAAGGAAAACCAACCTTAAACAGGGGGGGGGGGGGGGGGAACTCGGGTTACGGCTCAAAACCCTCCAATGCAGCGATAGAGTTGATTCCTTCCCGCTATCATCGCAGCTCCAACCCCTCTACAGGAGAACAGAAGACCTCACCTGTTCATCCAGGCCAACTATTCCCTCTAACGACCCCCCTTTCAGAGACACTGACAGGTATGGGGCATTGCAGGCTAACAAAGAAGCCAAACGACCCCCATTCCAAAGGGGGGGACCCGTTCATCCGTTTCTATTTGCATGTTTTCTAAACTAAAACCAGGCTTTGTTGGGCTGCTGGATAAAACCTGGAACTAAACGCTATTTCTGACATTTGGAATTGAAAAATCTTCCTGGATGGAAGAGAAACGTCTTCAGACTTGGAAACAAATTCCAGAGGATTGATTTTTAATTTCCTTTTTTTGGCAGTTTCAGTTATGAAAGCCAGTTTTGTGATAAACTGATTCTATTCAGTGTATTTCTATAGCTCCAATTCACATCATGTCATCTCAGGTCACTTTCCAGTTCACCAGATCATCCAGTCAGATTGCTTCAAAGTTTTCTACCTAAGGAAAACCAGCTGATTGCATCGACTCATTGACTCTTCAGCAATCCCTCACACTAAGCATGCTTGTAGCGACGGTGGAGAGGAAAAACTCCCTTTGAACAGGAAGAAACCTCCAGCAGAACCAGGCTCAGTGTGAGCGGCCATCTGCTGAGGCCCACTGGGGTTCAAGGAGACAGAAGCAGAGATTCAGGCCATTTACCATATAATATAAGACATACAACATAATGACTTAGTTGACCCCATAACTGTTCAAATGTGCAAATAAAATCATAAATGAACCTTGATTATTTGCTGATGATATTTAGTTTTTCTTTATATAAAATTCTTATAGCTTTGCACTATCTGCTCTTTTTATCTGCAAAACATACAGTTTCGGTGGTTTTGGAAAAGGCTGTACAACAATAACAAGGTTATCTTAGCTTATTTCTGGCCATTCTTCGTGTATGAATTAATTAGGCCCAAAATGATCAGAATGGGAGGTTTTAGGTGGAACCTTTTTTTATTGCATCAACCAGTTTCTTTCTGAAGTCACAGAAGCTCATCCCCAAAGATAAGTTGGTAAAATATCAGGCTAAACAGTGGAAGGTTAATACCAACAGAGATTTTGCGTCACAGATTTTTAGAAGTGGAATAAATAATTTTCAATGAGCCACTTCTGTATCAAAATTAAGATAAGAACTTATCATTAATTTCCTTTAAATATATACACATATAATTTCCTAGCCTTAGCAAAATTGTGATTGGATGTGAAAATGTATCTTTTTAACCCTGTAATGCCAAATGTATCATATTTGATACATACGGTTTCTGAAATGTTTTGCATTATTTAACGGTAAAAACTTTGCTCAAAATCCTGTTGTACACAATCAGATTTACCTGATAACAGCCAGTAGAAGACTACACAAAAAATAATCTTGACTTATCGCATAGTAATAAATTATTAATATCAAAAATGTATTTCTGTTTTTTCTTTTTACATATTTTGTCAAAAGGCCAAATAAGGACTTCAAACCCAAAAAAAAGTAATTTTCTGTTTTGTTTTATTCTTGGATCGGGCTTTAAAGGGTTAAATCTCCAGTCATGCTTCAATGCTCTTTTTTATGACGAACCAACAAACTTTTAACTTCTGTTTTTATGATTTTATTTCTGAAGCGTCAGTTAAAAATGAGCTTTCTCTGCATATGAGAGGTCAAAGAGCTTTTTTTGTTTGTTTGTTTCCTCCAACTAGCTTTCTTTTGAACGAGAAGAGAGTTTAAATTTTTTTTATTTATTTGATTTATTAGTGTCTCCCATAAAAGTTACTCATTTGCTAAATGAGGTTTTGCCATCATTCTGTTTTACTCTTGAGCAAATGACCTATTTCAGAATAAAATGTTCTTATCCTCCATTTCTTTTATCCTCCTTTCTTTGCAGACGGCTTCCCCTCCAAACATCTATCCATTTGTCCAGCTTTAGTTAATGCTTCTTCCCGACGCCCACCGCCTCTCCCTCCCTGCATCCGGTTCATTATCTTTCTTGCCCTTCTTTGCATCAGTCCATCCCATAATTCTCTCATCCACCCGCCCCTCCACGCCCAGCCCAGTGTAGATGGATATTGACGTTCCACATCCGACCTTGAGGACAATCAATCCCGGCCTCGCATGTCCCCAATGCAGTTACATGTTAACTGCTCTAAAGCTAAGTATTGGTTTTAGGAGCGGATAAGCTGGAATAAAGTAACCGAACTTCATTGCAAAGTTGCAGCTCAAACACAAAACATCGCATTTTATGAGGTCTCAGAAAGTTACACAATAGATACACCAGGCCATTGATTCTGCAGGATGTAGCAAATAATTACTAGATCAAAGAAAAAAAAATGTCTATTTTTGGTTTTTAAAAATGCAATAAAAAGAACATGAGATGAAATATTTAAACAATAACTAAGAAAATGCTTCATTATAAAGCTTCCCTGTCAATAACGTTAAAGCAGTGACCAGTTCAGCCAGACTTGCATGTAAAAAAGTCTTATTTTGTACTTTAACTTTTTCATTTTACACACATTTAGACTCATAAACCCTCCTAAATGGGTAAAAAAAAAAAAAAAAACTTAATAATGAGCTTTAGCTTTATTGTTATTGTGTAATTTTTGGTTTATGTTAATTTTGTCTTAGTATTTTTCTCTCCAGCATAAAATGCAGAAAGCTATTCTACACCAAATGTTTAATCAATAATTTTTTTATTTTCATGTCTATGTTATTTCTTTTTTTAAATAAGTGCCGCTTTCGATTTTTCTAAAACTCTAAAAAATCATTTCCACTATTTGTATGTTTTTTTTCATTCATATAAGACATTCAAAATGCAGTGCAAATATATTTTTAATTTCTTAATTGCTGAAATGTCTTAAATTATTCTAGTTAGGCTCCTTTAACCTTGTCATATTTTTCCAACTTGCATTGCATTAATCATAAAACATTTGCACGTCAAACGAAGGCTATGAGAAACGTGTGAAACAAACAATGTTTGTGACTTTTATCCAAAAAGGTTCATTTAGGCCCAGATCAGCAAAGAATTTGCAGTAGAGATGCAGCTACTTGTTCATCACTAAACAAACAGCACTCTAATGTGTTTCATGCATTTTGGTGAACAAATGAATCTTAGATCAAAGCACATATTTCTTAGATACTGTTAAATAACTAAATACTAAAAACTGGATGACATGTTAGAATATAAAGAACTTTAAATTAAAAGCAGGTCTTCAGAAACAAACTGATTATGACATTAAAACTTTGAATAACTCTAAAGTTCTTTTTTTTAATGCTGAAACAGTTTTATCGTCCAAGGTCAGACAAATCATGGATAGATGATGATGAGACAGGATGAATGGATGCTTACCTCTGACTGGAGGGAGATCCATTCTGCAGGCTGAGCTGGTTCTTCCTGGATGTGAGCTCGCAGGATCTCTACACTGGGGGGAGTTTTAATGTCGCAGCTGGGCTTTCTCATAAAAGACAAACCTGTTGTTTTAGTCTTATTGGTATGTGTTTCTTGGCTGAGAGGATGCTCTTCCCCAGTTGGAAGCACCCTCCTCCTCCTCCTCCTTCTCCCCCTCTTTGACTGAGCTTTTCTTGGAGCACTCTGATCCTTGGTGCTTCCTCTTTAGGTCACCCCGTTCTTCACCTCCAGAAAAGAAGCCAAGCTTTTGTGCAAACCGCATAAAAGAGAGCACGCCCTCACTCTGTCCCTGCTTGGCAGAGATTCACTTTGGAATGGATGCTCCTGATGCTGGAATTTGTTCAAAAAAAGAAGAAAAAAAACAGCAGGCACAGCTATGGCTTTACTTTAGTTTGTCTGTAGTTTGTAGGAAAATAATTCTTGGAAAGAATCAGAAGTATCTCCACACAGTAGCTGAACCTGCAGCAGCACAGTATCACAGCACACTATAAAAAATGGATTGCAAAGAAAATTGCACCTTTTAAAGTCTGAACAGGAGGAGATACAGGTTAGAATTGATGGTTAAAAAAACATCCTTAGTTTTTATTAAACTCTCCTTGCCTTTCTGCAGATTTCCTCTCTTCCTTCTAAGAGATGAATGACGGTGAGCTGCATGCAGTCTGTCTCTCTTTCACACACACTCCCTCCAGTCAGCCCTCCTCCTCCTCCTCCTCCTTCCCGTCTGAAACTCCTCCCTCATTTATCACTGAATTCAGCTGAATTCAAATAGGCTGTTTTAACATGGGAGGGCAGAAGTTGGACTTTAACAAGCTTGGGAAACACATCACCATGTAGAGGTGAACCAAAGAGATTTTACAGAAAAATTTCATTCAATTCTATTCAGTCTATTTCTATAGCTCCAATTCACATCATGTCATCTCAGGTCACTTTCCAGTTCAACCAGATCATCCAGTCAGATTGATTCAAAGTTTTCTATCTAAGGAAAACCAGCTGATTGCATCGACTCATTGACTCTTCAGCAATCCCTCACACTAAGCATGCTTGTAGCGACAGTGGAGAGGAAAAACTCCCTTTGAACAGGAAGAAACCTCCAGCAGAACCAGGCTCAGTGTGAGCGGCCATCTGCTGAGGCCCACTGGGGTTCAAGGAGACAGAAGCAGACATAGAAAAAGAAGCATAGATACAAAAGGCAACTGTCAACCAGCTCCACAGGCGGCCCCGTCCAGGAAACACACAGCCAGGCAGACGAGCTCCGAGCCAGCTCCCATGTCAGAGGATGAAGAGAGCACATCCAGTTAGTCACAGTCAGAGAAACAGGACTACACTGGAAAACAGGCCAAGCTCCAACATCTAGAAACAAAGGTGTTGATGGCAGCAGCACAGCTGATATTTCTCTCCAGGATGGAGTCACAGCCAAACAGGAACAGACCAGATGAAGCTACTATGAGAAAAAGCAGAGAGAGCAGAACGTTAGAGATTGAACTAACAGATTCTACAGAGTGGGAGAATAGAGATAGAATGAAGCAGAATGATGAAAAAGGGGTCCCTATGTCCTCCAGCAGTCTAAGCCTATAGCAGCAGAACTATAGAGATAGCTCAGGATAACCTGAGCCACTCTAACTAGAAGCTTTATCAAAAAGGAAAGTTTTAAGCCTAGCCTTAAAAGTAGACAGGGTGTCTGCCTCACGGACTAAAACTGGTAGTTGGTTCCACAGGAGAGGAGCCTGAGAACTAAAAGATCTGCCTCCCATTCTACTTTTAGAAATTCTAGGATCCACTAGTAAACCTGCAGATTGAGAGCGAAGTGCTCTGTTAGGAACATAAGGAACAATCAGATCTCTGATATCAGATGGAGCTTGGCCATTTAAGGCTTTATATAAAACACAAAACAGTTTAATTAAAATGTCCTTACGTAAGAACTGATACTACTAGTGTGAAGTAGTTTTAGGTAAACTAGCCTAATTACAATAATCCTTTAACTTGCATGATGCATATCGGTGAATAAATAAACTATTTCGTTTTGGGTTTTTCTTTCTGCTGTAGCATTGCAGTACTCCTGAGAGTGAACTGGGAAAGTTGCCTGAAGGATGAACCTCCTCCAGATGAGACTGAGAACAGCAGCAGGTTTTGAATCAAAGCTGTAGTGGAGGAGGTTCTTTTTCTGGGTGGATCATCTCAGTCAGTGGTCCTCCTAACTGTCAATCATTCTGGTGATGTTTACGTAAGGCCGTCCTTCCTGCTTTACCCCATTTTCACTAACCGGTGGTGAGTCTGACATGAAAAATTGGAAATTTTCTTTTGGAAAATAAGCAGCAACTTTTAAACAGAGCGTGCAGGAGGAGAAATGGACTCCTGAACGCTCACACACGTGTTTAATAGGCGTTCCCCCGCAGGAGCGGGTACAGGGTTGTTCATGTGCATTTTTTTTAAAGTGGAGAGGGTGAGTCTTTTCGCAAATTCACAAAAATCCTCCACTATACCTTTAAGCACAAACAGTAATGCATCAGCAGTCACCATGGCAACTGATATCTGAATAGTGTTGGCAGCAAGGAAGGAGGTAGGAAAATGAACCTAGATGGTTACCAATAGTTTATTTACCATAGGCACCTCCTGACATTCCTATCTGGCCCTTAGGATTCCCATACGTAGAGGTACAGTCCACATCACTCAATTTAACAAAAATACTTTGCTACTTAGCCTGTAAATGTCAGACATGTGTAAATTAACTCCATACGTCTAAACTTTCGTGTAGTTATTTTACATCACACAACTTGCATTTCTGTTGCGTAACGACATCCAGAGGATTGAAGGCTGTCTGGGTTTGGCACAGCAGTTCAGAGATATTTTCCTAGCTGCAGCAGTATTTTTATTGTTGACTCCTGATGGAAGAGTGGGAGCTACAGTACAATTTGATCTATTCCGAGAGTCGACAACCGGCGACTCCAGAGCTGCATGCGGCTCTTTAGTTTCCGGTGAGAGTTGGACTCCACCAGGGCTGCCCTTTGTCACAGATTCTGTCCATTACCTTTTTGGACAGAATTTCTAGGCGCAGCCAAGGTGTTGAGGGGATCCGTTTTGGTGGCTTTAGGATTGCGTCTCTGCAGCGAGAGCTGCAGATCACGACCTGCAGCTCTCGCTGGATCGGTTCGCAGCCGAGTGTGAAGCGGCCAGGATGGGGATCAGTGCCTCCAAATCCGAGGCCATGGTCTTGAGCCAGAGAAGGGTAGAGTGCCTTCTCCGTGTCATGGGGGGTGTCCTACCCCGAGTGGAGGAGTTTAAGTATCTTGGGATCTTGTTCACGAATGAGGGAAGAAGGGAGCGGGAGATCAACTGGTGGATTGGTGCAGCGTGTGCCGTGAAGCGGGCGCTGTACCGGTCCGTCGTGGTCAAGAGAGAGCTAAGTCAAAATGCGTAGCTCTCGATTTACCCGTCGATCTACGTTCCTACCCTCATCTATGGTCATGAACTCTGGGTCATGACCAAAAGAACGAGATCGCGGATCCAAGCGGCCGAAATGGGTTTCCTCCGTAGGGTGGCTGGGCTCTCCCTTAGAGATAGGGTGAGAAGCTCGGTCATCCGGGAGGGACTCGGAGTAGAGCCGCTGCTCCTCCACGTCGAGAGGAGCCAGTTGAGGTGGCTCGGTCATCTGGTTAGGATGCCTCCTGGACGCCTCCCTGGTGAGGTGTTCCAGGCACGTCCCACCGGGGGGAGGACCAGGGGGAGACCCAGGACACACTGGAGAGACTATGTTTCTCTGCTGGCCTGGGAATGCCTTGGGGTTGCTTCTGAGGGGCCCCGTGACCCGACCCCGGATAAGCAGAGCAAAATGGATGGATGGATGGATGGATGGATGGATGGATGGATGGATGGATGGATGGATGGATGGATGGATGGATGGATGGATGGATGGATGGATGGATGGATGGATGGATGGATGGATGGATGGATGGATGGATGGATGGTGTTTACAGATGCTGTAAAAGTTTTTATAATTAATAATTTTAAACAATAAATGTAAACATATCTTTAAATGAAGAATTGTGTCATATCCTGCAGCAGGTTTCAGCGCGGCGCGGTGCCAGTGTAACATAGTTAAAATGGCTCAGGTTAAATCCTGCTAAAATGCACCATCTGCTGGTTTAATGGAGTATAACATTCACCCTAGAAAGAGCAGGGTATTATGGGTAATCCTCAGAGCCATAAGTATCACTGTTGAGGTAACGTGTCTCTGCAATGTTATAAAGAAATATTATATATAAAATATGTTTATGGTTTTCGTTTTTGCATATTATTGAAATATGTTTTATGTAGGTCACACTGTTTTGCTATTATATTGTTTTTGTTGCGTTTTAGAAATGTTTAGCTCGTGAGAAAGTGTGGTGGGGATTTCCCACGTTAACATTGTGGCTCCTCCTTGCAGGAGCATGTTTATGCTAGAGACTGACTTTACCTCGATGCCCATGTGTGAACTACAGGTATGTTTTACTAAATCTTGTAGCAGATGGTTAATATAAGGCCGAGCTTTATTTTAACAGTTTTATATGAAGATATGGTTCATTTATGTTTTTGGATTATTTCAAGATACAAGTTTATATAAACTAAAATATAAAAATGGCATGCAGTAAATAAAATGTCAACATTTTATTTTATTTTTCAGAGCATTTTAGTTAACTGCTTTACTTTCTTTAAAAAATGATACTCGCTGGTTGTTCCTTTAGTGTAAACTAAATCCACTATGCGATCACTGTAATTTTCAATGATTTTATTTTGATTACTGTATTATGGGTAATCCTCAGAGCCATAAGGATCACTGTTGAGGAGCATGTTTATGCTAGAGACTGACTTTACCTCGATGCCCATGTGTGAAATACAGATGGTGAATTAAAGAGAACTACTGATGCCAGCTTGAGCTCCTGTCATCCATTACCACCCTAAGAGAAGCCACCAGAACCACATAGGTCACACCAGGCAGTAGGCTGCTGTAAACAAAGAGGAAGATAGCTGATGAGAACAGAGGATTCAAAGAAGAACGGAGTGAATCATTTGCTTTCATTACCAATCAGGAAGGATTGTCTGCATGTTTGCTTTGCAATGGTAAGTTGTCAAATAATAAAAAGAGTCATTAGGAAAAGCATTTCCAGGGAAGGCTAAATATGCAGCCCCCCACCGAGCTGGGAGGGAGACAAAAAACACGATTGCAGAACTTCTGCATAAATTAGAGTAGAGCAAAGATAGATTTAAGAAAACCGTTCATAGATCCAACAGGTATCGCTCTGATGCAGGGATGGAAACTTTCTTCCATTTTTCCCCCCCCAAATACTCAAAGTAAAAATATCACCAAAAATCTGATTTCTTTATCATTTTTTTTTATAATTTCATCAATGCAACTAAACTTAATACATTAATATTTTTATGTAATTTAAACTTAATGCACCAAATACTGTTCAGCAGAGTCACATGGTGTGAAATTTGCTCCACAATAAACATTTAATCATGAATGTTTATTATAGATTCAAGCCCACTTAGTCCTTTTTTTTTATAGTAGGCTAATACACAGGGGTGGATTTAGGGAATCTGGGGCCCTAGGCAAAGACAGGCAGGGGGCCCTCTGAATGGAGAAGACAGCACATAAAACAGAGCCATTCTACAGATAGAGAAATGTTAATAGAACAGTCCTTC